GTGATAAAACCTGCTTTAAAAAATGGTAGATAATATAATGCAGAACAAGAGTAAATTCCGAAACGCAAAATAATAGTTTCGTCCCAAATCTCGCTACAGAAGCCCTTCCTTATTCTATCCTACCTTCCTCTCCTCTCCTAAACCATCTTTTCCCTCCTCTCCTCTCCCCTAAACCATCCCTTTTCCCTCCTCTTCTCTCCTAAACCATCTTCCTTCCCTCCGCTCCTCTTCCTCTCCTGTCTCCTTCTTTCTCCTTTCCTTTCCCTTCCCTTCCCTCCCTTCTACCTCTCCACCTCCTAGTCGTTGTTTCTGTTGTTCTCGCTTTCCCTGCCCGTTCTAGTTTGTGTTCTCCTCCTCCTCCTCCTCCTGCTATTCCTTTCTTCTTCAGCTGCTTCTTCGTCTCGAAGGAACAACGCATCTTCAAGACAGCCTCTCGTAATTCCCCCCCCTCTACCCCTCCCTCACATCCCCCCCTGTACCTCTCCTCATATATGATTTTTCCCCCTCCTTTCTTTTTTCTCTCCCTCTTCCTCTCCTCTTTGTACATGAGCCAACACGCGAAAATTGCCTCTTCATAAAACAATTTTTCTACCTTCACAGAAATTCGGTTAGTCTGATGCTTCTTTGTAATATGTAGACTCCTCCGCCCGCGTTCCTTCCTCGCCGCAAAGGGGGCCTTGGGAGATGAGGAAGATCTTTAAGACGTAAGAGAAGAAGGCGGGGAAGAGGAGAAACTTGAGAAGGATGAGGATGAGGAAGAAGAGAAGTCGAGGAGGATGAGGAGGAAGAAGAGGAGAAATAAGATAATAATGATAATGATGATAATGATAATAATAATAATAATAATAATAATAATAATAATAATAATAATAATGGGGAGGAAGATGATTAACAAGAGGATATAAAAGGAAGGAGGAGGAGGAGGAAGACGATAAACAAAACGATAATGGTGACAACGATGAGGAGAAGCCAGGAGAAGAAGAGGTTTGAGAACAAAGATAATGACGATGAGGAGGAAGAGAGAAAATGAGAAGACGAAAGAGAAAGAGAGTGAGAAGACGGGGGAGGAGGAGGAGGAGAAAAAAAAGAAAGTAAAGAGGAGGAGGGGGAGGAGGAAGAGCAATTCCTTCTGGGGAAACACAAAAGACGAGGCGAACAACGAAGGCGACGACAGGTAGAAAAGGGAGGAAGGAAAAAAAGATGAAAGAGACAGGAGTATCAAAAACCGAACCCATCTCACGTCGTCCTCGGGAAAATAATGATAAAAAAATGAAGTAGATGATGATAAAAGTACAAGAACGAAGGAGAGCGGATATCGGTAAAGGAAAAAAGGGAGGACGAATGGGGGGAGAGGGTGTTTAGGAGACAAGAGAAAGAAGGGAATAATTGAATAAATAAAGGAAGTAAGGTAGGAAAAAATGTAGGAAGAAAATCAGGAAGGAAGGTAGGAAGAATAGGAAGGGAGGAAGAAAAGAAAGTACGAAGAACGAGAGGAGCAAAGAGAGAAGGACGGAATGAGAAAAGAGGAACGAAAAAGCGAAGGAGAATGAAAGGCAATCGGAAACTATGAGGAAGGACGGTGAGGAGGGCTGGCGGAATCCATAACGAGAAGAAGAACAAAGAAGAAGAAGAAGCAAAGAAAGAAAAAAAAACGAGGAAGGACAAGCAGACTGAGAAGCAGTCGAAAACCACGGAGGTGCGAACGGAAAGAAGAAAGACGGTGAGAATGAACAGAATAAGAAGGGAATCTCAGAATGAATTTCATAAAAAAGGGACGACCAGAACGAATATCATGAGAAGGGGACGAAGAAAACGTACAGAATAACAGGGGAAAATCAGAATAATTATAAGAGACGACGAGAACGAACATGAGAAGAGAAAAACGAAATCCGAAGAAGCGACGACGAGAGCTGAACAAGAATACAAAGGGGACAAACGAAACCGAAAAGAATAAGACCCGGGAAGAAGAATGAACATGATGATAAGAGACGACGAGAACGAACATAATAATAAAGGGACGACGAAAACGAACAGAACAAGACGAGAAAATCCGAACGTTCACCAAAAGAAGAACCGACGAAAACGGAACAAGAATAAGGAGGGGACGACGAGACGACAGAGCACGAGCGTCAGCGGAAGGAGGACGACCGAGACGAGCAGAAATCGGAGGACGAGGACTAATCCTTGAGGACGACCTCCGTGCACGCCGGCCGCCGCCTCCGCGCAGAGACGAGCGTGTCCTCGCCGAGACGCCGCTGAATTAGCTCCCGTGGCGAGGGCGAGGAACGCCGCTCGCCCGCACGCACGCCCGCACGCACGCAGGGAGAAGGAGAGGCAGAAAGAGGTTGAGGAAGGGAAGGAAGGGAAGGCAGAGGAAAGAATGAGGTAGTATGAGAGGGAATGAATGAATGAATAGGGGAATGAAGCAACGACGGTAGGGAGTAGGAAGGGAGGGAGGAAAGGGTAGGGAAGGAAGGAACGAGGGAGGAAGGGAAGAAAAGAGGATGAGGAAGAGAGGGGAGGATGGATAGAGAGCGGGAAGGAACATGAGGAGGAGGGAGGGAAGGAGGGAATGCGAGATGGGAAGTAGAATGATAGAGTGAAAGAAAATGGAGAAAGGTAAAATAAAACAGGAAGGATAACAAAGAAAAACAACAACAACGGTATATGAACAGTCGGTCTCAGTGTGACATCAGACATCGACCTATAAAATAAAACAGACACAAAACAGGAAAAAACGGTAATCACATTACGAAAATCCTATCGCCAAAAACCAATGCAAATTATCAAAACCCAAAAAGCTTATAAATAATGTCACTGTACTCCCCTCTCCCCCCTGAGACCACAAAACGGTATTCTAACAAAGTAATGATGGCATTCACAGCACAAATAACCATTAATAAACACAATAATAATAATGAAAATAGTAGTAGTAGTAGTAGTAGTAGTAGTAACCACAACAATAATAAACAATAATAATAGTAGTAATAATAATAACCACAACAATAATAAAGTCATAATAACATTAACTGATGAAGACAAAAAACAAAAGGACTGATGACAATAATAAAAATAATACGAATCACAAAAAAGCAAGAACCAAACAAAGGGAACCAACCCAAAAATAACACACAACGAAAACAAGGAAAAAAAAGGAAAATAGTAAACCACGGTAGCAAAAAAAAATCCTCGTTCGAAAAGCGAAACCACGTATAACGATAACCCGGTCACCTCCTCCGCACCCGTCCGCACCCGCCGTCTCCCGCCACTTAATTGAGGTGATTTTATCAATAAACTCGTTCTGTGAGCCGAGCAATTAACACCTGGCAGGTTCGCGGAAGGTGTCTAGCCTCCCGTAACGCTATCTTGCTTTAGCCTGCCCTGCCCTGCTTAGATATGCCCTGCCGGCTTTATAACCTATTCTGTCCAGCCATGTCATGATCTACTATGCCTTGCATTGCCCTGCTTGGCTCCGCTGTCTTGCTTTGCTTTTGTTTTGCTCTGTCTTTCACTGTCCTAATTTGCACTGCTGCGCCCTGGGCTCCCCTGCCCTGCACTGCTCTGCTACGCCCTGTCCTAACCCGCCCTCTCCTACCCTGCTCGGCTTTGCTCTGCTCTGCCCTACCTTGTCCTACCGGTGGAAATTTATAGTGGTTAGTATGGCTCGCCCTGTCTATCGGTCTATCAGATTCACAGCCCACGGTACTTGCCCCCTCCCCTGTTCATTCAAAGGATCCGGAATTGTCTTTCCTTTCCCTTCCTCCTCCTCCTTTTGCGGGTCTAACCTTCTCCCCCCCCCCCGTCCCTCCCAATTCACACACCCCCAGGAAGCCTTCACCCTCTCTTCCCTCCCCCATGACCCCCTCTCCTCCCCCCACTCACGCACCCTAAGGCGTAAGGATACAACAACACTTTTGCCGCAGTTGGATCCTTCACGTTTCCCTATCACAACAAAAACTCCCTTCCTTCTACCTCTATCCTCCCTTAGCTCCCTTCTTCCTCCTACTTCCTTCTACTTCCTCTCCTCCCCTCCCCTTCATTCCCCTCCTCACCCCTTGCCATGCACCAAGGACAAGGCTAAAAGACTACAAGGCTACGAGACTACAGCTACTTCCTCTTTTCTTTTCCTATTACCACCATTTCTTCTCTTATCCCCTTTCTCCCTGTCCCCTATCCCACCTTCTCCGTCCCTTCCATCCCCATCCCTACTCCCTCTCACCCAACCCCTTCCTCCTTCCTCTCAACGTCCCTTTTCCTTCTCCCTCTATTCCTCCCACCCCATCCCTCCCAAAACCCTTCCCCCCTTTTATCTCCACCCTCCCGCTTCCCCCTCTCCCTTCCACCCCCTTCCCCCTCGCCCCTCCCCTTAATCATCATGTCACGTCACGTCAACAACACGTCACTCTCAACCGGCCTGTTGTTACCACGGAGAGGTCCCAAAACCTCAACGGGAATAGAAAACGGCCGATGACTATACATAAAAATGCATGAAATTAATATATAATAACAAATAAAGATGGCAAACGTGGGGGAATGGATAAGAGGAACAGAAGCAACGGGTGATGCTGAGGAAGACTGAGGGGCTGCCGGGGGAAGGGAGAGGAAAAGAAAGGAAGAGAAAGAAGGAAACGGGAAGAGGGGAGGAGGCAAGGAAAGAGAAGGTCGAAAAACGAGGATAATCATCAAAAGAAAAGAAAGAGAGAAAAACAAGGGGGAGGGAGAAGAAAATACCGGAAAAAGGTAGAGGTGGAGGAGGAGAATAAAGAAGAACCATAAGTAGATAAAAAAAAAAAAAAAAAAAAAAAAAAAACACCAGCAGGACTCACAGTACCATAAAACAACACCCTCCCCCCATTACTCCATTCCACATTAAGGGACTGGATAATCGCTTCCACCTGCCACCTACCCCTCCCAATCCCCTCTCACACCCTCCTCCTACCCCTTCATTCTCCCCTCCCACCCCCACACTCTACCCCTTCCCACAAAGTCCACTCACCTACACAAGCGGAGGCGGTCCCTGAGCGGCAGCAAGGGAACACACGGACGCACACAGCGACTTATCGTAGGCGCTCACCTGTTGGAAAGAGAACGAATGCCGGATTAGTAAAAAAATAAAATAAAAATAAAACGGTAATAAAAAAAAAATAATCACATCAACAATAATAATAACAGTAATACCATTATAGAACAGCAACAACAACAGCAGAAGATGGAAACTAAAACAATCACAAAAATATCAGACAGACCACAGCATCATCAATAATAACAACATACGGACAGCATCAGCACCATCACCATCACCACTGTAACCATAATTACAACGTTATCCACGCACAATCAATACGTTTCAAAATTAAAGAACATCCAGAACAAACGACCGCAAGCAAGCGGAAGAGAGCAAACAGAAAAGAACCCAAGATAAGAAAAGAAAAAAAGAAAAAAGAATAACATATAAGAAAAGAAACGAAAACAAGTAAAAAAAGAAAATAAAAACATATTTCCTTTTATTTTTTTTCGACAAAATCACAAGCACAAAAAAAAACTCGCACGGAAAATGACAACACAAAAAAAAAGGGAAAAGGAAAGAGGGGGAAAACGGATAAAAGAGCTGACTATCCCCGTAATGGCACGTGAGCGAGGGATAATAATATGTAAACACAGCATAACAAGGCGCGCTCGGTTAGCTTCGCCGCCGACAAAACGAACGGACTCCTCCTGTCGCGCCGCCGCCGCCGGGGGGGGGGGGGGGGGTCCGATACAGCGCTTGATATCCAACTCTCTTTCATTTCGCCTTCCTCCGCCTTTCTTTTATTCTCTCTTCCATTGCTTTTGTTTTACTTCCATTTCTTTTATTTTCTCCTTTTTACTTTTGTTTTGTTTTCTTCCTCCTCTTTCATTTTATTTTTTTTTCGATCTTTTATCATAATATTTCAACGCATTTTTTTCTTCCATCTCCCTTATTTAGTTTTCTTTCCATTTTTCTTTTCATTTCCTCTCCTTTTCTTTTTGTTCCCTTCTTTTTATTCTTCCTTGCGTGCGTCCATTCTCGCTTTCGTTTCCACGATACCGGGATATTCATCTCACACTTTGTCTTCTTCCAACACTCTTTTATCTTTTTTCCTTCCACCCCCTTTCTTTACGCCCCTTGTGTTTTTCCTTTTTCCGTTACTGTATGTGTGTCGGGTGTATTTCTCATGTTCATTAGCATGAGGTAGTTCAGCACAATTTCAGCGACAATCCTGAAGGGAGGGAGAGGGAGAGATTGCATGTGTGGGGGATGAGGTTGACAATTTTTTTTCAACTATTATACAAGAATATCAGAATTATATATCTGATGATAATAATGATATAGCATACATGCATATGGAGGGAGGAGATAGAGAGAAAGAAATAAAGAGAGAGAGAAATAGAAAGAGCGGGAGATAGATAGAGAGTAAAGAAGCCAGACAACCCCAGAAAAACAACCCCCTTCCAAAACCCCAACCCCAAATCTGGAAGAGGAGGAGCGAGAGAACGAAGCTAAAGAGACCAAGGAGCATAAGCAGCGAGGCGAGGGCGCGGGCGCGGCGGCGGGCGGCGGCGGGAGTGGGAGGCCCGAGCGAGTAAGAGAAGCCGCCAATATGTGCGCAATGTTTACGATCTTGAGGAGAGAGAATCCGCGAGAGAGGAACTCGGGCGGCGCCGGTGCCAACACACACACAAGGTAAGTCGAGCGGGCCATCGGCGTGGCACTGTGCCCAAGGTGCCCAGGCCTCGCTGCCGCCGCCGCCGCACTTGCTTACTCATGCCATCCGCTACCATAGACCAGCGCCCAACCCATAACGCTTTCTTCAGTCCTTCCTTCCCCATCTCTCTCTCTCTCTCTCTCTCTCTCTCTCTCTCTCTCTCTCTCTCTCTCTCTCTCTCTCTCTCTCTCTCTCTCTCTCTCCATATTCCTGTTCGTTTCTGCTTATCGCCCAGTCTCCACTTTGCCTCAGCGACCATTTCTGACCGTCAGTCTGCGCACCCCCTTTCTCTCGTTCCGTGCCTGTTTGTCTTTCTGTCTCCTGTCTGTCTGTCTGCCTCCCTCTCCCTCTCCTGCCCACACCCCTCCAGACCCTCCTCCCGCCCACGCCTTTCGCTCACCCCGCCATTTCTACGGGAACCGAGCACGAGGCGAGGACACCTACAACACTCCCAGTAAACGATTAATGAAAAGGAGGAGAATCACATCACACTCAAAACAAAAAAACAAACAAATAAATAAAATGCCACACGAAGAGAAGTGAAGGTAGAGCTGGCTCGCCATAAGCTCACCATAGACGTGAAAGTCACCGCCACTAAAGTAACCGAAGCGAGGACACGGACTACAGTGCCGATGCCGCCACAACACTGGCGAAGGAAGGAAGAGGGAGGCGAGATAATCACAAAGAAGCGAAAGGGAGAGAAAGTACAAGGTGCAGGAAGGAAAGGTGGGAAGTGGAAGAGGAAGAGAAAGAAGAATTGAAAGAGGACAAGGAGGAGGAAAAGATGAGAGATATAACGGTAGAAATAGAATGGAGGAGGGAGGTTGCATGTTGTCGATAGCGGAGTAGGAGGAGGAGGAGTAGTCGTAGGAGGAGTTGGAGTAGGGCAAGGAGGAGGAGAAGTGGGACAAGGAGGAGGAGGAAGAGGAGAAAGACGTGATGGTGGAGCGGGGGAGGGTCAGTCACCCTCCCACACCTCTTTCAGGCCTCCTTCCCCGAGTCGCCACTGCCGCCACCATAGCAGAATAAATCAAATTCAATTTATTCATCATCTGGTTCGTTTTATTCCCAAGGACACTGCCGCACTTTCCAAGAAACGCAGAAACTTCCCATACACTGTCTCTTCCCCTCTCTGTCTTCCTAATCTCTCTCTCTCTCTCTCTCTCTCTCTCTCTCTCTCTTACAAACACACCCACATGCATAGACACACGCACGCACACGCACACACACACACACACACACTCCTACCCCCCCCCCCACACACACACGCAGACTTACACACATCCACACCCACAAAAAAACGCACACAAATACCTACACACACCACATGCATCCTCCCCCGCCCCCACACCCACACACCCATACCCACACAGAGGCACTGAAGACGACGAGTAATTGTGTCTGCTGGGCGTGGGTACGACTGAAGTTCCCATCACGTGGATATCATGAGGCCGAACAGGCACGAAAAACACGGGGAAAAGGGGCGGGGTGAGAAAGAAGGGGAGAGGAGGAAGAGAGGAGAGGAGGAGGAGGAGGAGAGAGGAGGAGGAGGAGGAGAGGAGGAAGAGGGAGGAGGAGAGGAGGGAGGGAGGTTAAGGAAAACGAGAAAAGAAAGAATTGTGAGCGGCAGGAGAAAGAAGGGGAAGGGGAGGGGAGATGAGGAGGCAAGAGAAATGACAAAGGGAGGAGATAACGAAGGAGGTTGAGAAAGAGAAAAGGAGAAAGAGGGTGAGAATGAATCCCGACATACCTAAGCACCAGTACGCAGTGCCAAAGTAAACACGTGCAGAGGCGACAGAGGCGGCAGCCGTAAAAACAACAGCAAATGCAGCAACAACGACAGCGGCAACAGCAGCATAAACAGCCCCACCAGGAGTCATTACGGCAGCACCAAAAGCAGCATCGGGACCCCACCATGCCCAGTACCCAGACGAAGTACAGCTGCCCTCCCATGGGGAACAAAACACAAACAGCCGCGAAGTGGCGAGGACGGGAGGTAAGGTAGCGAGCGCCTCCACACACACAGACCGACAGCCCCACCGACCAGCCGACCGACCGACCGACCGACCGACCGACCGACCGACACGTTTCCCGCTCGCCAAGAATGTCACGTCCGAGAGATTATCAAGGGCTGAAAAGGGGAAGAGAGACCCGACGACTTCGCATGGTCGGAATGTACGCCCGTATCTATGTACGATGTGGAGGAAGACCGAGGGGAGGGAAGGAAGGAGGGGAGAGGGACGGATGGGAAGGGGAATGGAATGGCGGGGGAGGGATGGAGGGAGGACGAGGGAGAGAGAAGAGGAGGAGGGGAGGGGAAGAATGGGCATTCAGGGAAAAGAAGAGAGACGGAGGGGCATGGGGGGAAAGAAGGGAGAGACGAGTGGGGACAGGCGATAGAGGAGGGAACGAAGGAGAAAGGAGAGGGGGAAAGGGAAAGGACAGGGAGAAATGGGAATATGGGTTGGCAGAGAAAAAAAACATGAACATGAGGATATGGAGAAGACGAGACACAGGAGGAGGAGAGAGATGATCTGAGAGACATCTGCAAAAGGATTGTATGTAAACGTTATGTGCTCTACTCCGCCTATTGAAATATGAGGGCGAGTGTGGGACGGAGACAGATATAAAGATAGATAGAGATACAAGTGGACACACTAGCAATTTTATATCCAGGCAGTGCTTTGAAAGACTAGGGTTCAGGCTTAAAAAAAGGGAAAATATTATATATATATATATATATATATATATATATATATATATATATATATATATACATATATATTTAATTCTTCTGGACAAAACAGGCATACAAGTCTCTCTCTCTTTATTGGGAAGATGAAACTCACTCGCTTATTTATGGAATTATCATCAATGTTTCTCGATATGGTAAATGCCTTATTCATAATAGGAGGAGAGAGTAAGGGGAACACTTTCTGAAGCGCGAAAGGGAAAGGCGGAGGGGAGAAAACGAAAGGAAAAGAAAGACGGTGGCGTAGAAAGGAGACGGAGAAGGAGGGGGAGAATGTGACGTTTGCCTTCGATAAGTTTATTGAGACAAGCGGTTACACCTCAAAAGGATGGAGTAACGCACGATGTCCTCACCCACGAGGAGCGACTGAGGCAAGGCGATTGAAAGCAGTAGCTCTCGGACGCCGTCGTCTTGAAGCTTGTCTGCGAGGACATATGAATGAACGGAAGGATGAATGAAGCACACTGGTGACCCGTTTTCCTGAGGAGGAGAGAGGAGAGGAGAGGAGGAGGAGGAGGAGGAGGAGGAGGAGAGGAGGAGGAGGAGGTGGTGGAGGAGGTGTGGAGAAGTGGTGGTGGTGTGGTGGTGGTGGGTGGTGTTGGTGTGGAGGATGATGATGATGAGGGAGGAGTCTGTAAGTAAGAGGCTACTTGAGCCCCAATCTTTTAAACTAATTTTGTGTGTATACGTATATATGCACACCTTTCTTACCTTCTATTCCCTCTTTATCAACCCCCCCCCTGTGTGTGTGTGTGTTGTGTGTGTGTGTGTGTGTGTGTGTGTGTGTGTGTGTGTGTGTGTGTGTGTGTGTGTGTGTGTGTGTGTGTGTGTGTGTGTGTGCGTGTGTGTGTGTGTGAAATATCCTGTATACGAGAGGACAGACTACCAAGTAATTGACTCTCTCCACTTCAGGTGTTTCTGATTACTTCCTGGTCTCCACAATACACGAACAGTGTACTAAGAGTTACCACGAGGTAATAAATAACGTTTTCTTTTTATAGCGAAAAGAGGTTACCACATGACAAACAGGTGTTCATTCATCGCATGTGCGCATATACAACACATATAGAGATTACACAAGCGGGTCTCCCCTCTTTCTCTCTACAACACTTCACCTCTTCCTTTTCCTCCACCTCCACCTCCACCACTCCCCATCCACCATCACCTCCACCCCTCCCCCCCTCATCTCCACCTCCACCTCCACCTCCCCCTCATCTCCACCTCCACCTCCTCTCTCATCTCCCCCCCCCACCTCCTCACCCCCACCTTCAAACTTCTCCCGATGGGCGCCATTCAACCCGCCTTACACCTGCGCCCATCATCACGCCCACACCCACTGGGCATGACAGCGATAAACGTCATATCGCATCCCGACGCGCCCTGTCATGCACAGCTTGATTCATCTATCACGCTTATCTACTATCTATCGATCTTAATAATTTCATCCACATCTGTATCGATACAATCCAGCATTTCATCAATTCTATCCACCATTAATCTGCTTTTATCCACCTTCCCATCCTCTTGTCAGCTACCATTTCGCCACAAATTAATATATAAATGACAAAAATAGGCAATCTAAACCAACAAATAAATACACAACCAAACATGACAAAATAAACAAACAAAAATAAATAACCAAACAAGTGACAAAATAAACAAATACATAACCAAGCAAGCGACGAAACCAACAAATACATAAATCAAAGAATAAAAACTGTATCAAACAAGTGACCTGAACAAACAAAACAAACAAACAAACAATTCCTCCCAGCACAGCCGCAACGACGACCCTGCGATTCGTGCGACAAACAACTCAAACGAGATCCTTATCACGACAACGATCAGCCGCCGATGAAAAACAGACTAGCGGTTGCTTCCAGAAGGGTCACGTGATGCCCGCCTCTCGCCGCCTGCCTTCGCCATCTCGGTTATTTATAAAGAAAAAAATAAAAAATAAATAAATAATAATAATAAATATATAAATAAAACAGTATACTCGTGTAATGGCTTAAGTTATATTCAATGTACATTCGATCGATTTTTTTTCTTGAAGTACTGTATATTCGACATTTTTGGAAATTTTAATATGTTATGCAATTTAATAAAAATACATTGTTATTTTGAAATCACCGAGAATGTTACATAACACAATACAACTTCAGAATGATAACAAAGTAGGTAAGATTGTTGCAATAATTACAATTTCTATCGCCATTATTCTTACATCATCAGCATTATAAATATCTATATAATTTTTGCTTTTATGTTTCCTATCATTATTATCATTACTGTACCGTGTGTCGAACCAAAAATAGGGAAAAAGTGATATTCAAACTATGTAACATTACAGTGTACAACGACAATATTATCTAAGATACTTCATTTCTAGACATTGAAAAAATAGGCATTTTTGTAAATTCGTAGTGCAGTAAAATGCATAAAGAAAAATGATATCTATGACAATAATAATACAATGGTAACAACAGTAATAACAGCTTAATCTTACTGAAACACTTCGCCATCTTCACGAATCTTGAAAAGATTGCCAGAAACGCCGACGCCCAATCATGACTCCCATTTCGGCCGCGTTTGACTTCGTATCAGATGGAGCGATCTGCTCTACCGCTACACAAATTAGTTATTTGTTACACTGTATACCCTTCACTAATCCTTTTCATTTAAAATCATCATCCGCTATACATTCTCCTCACGCCGACGCCCACGATCGACGCCCGCGGGAATAGCGGCGTCGCACAAAACGCCCTGTGACTTGTACCTCTTGCCTTTAAACGGATGGATGTCTGTTAAATCGATAAATAATCAAAGGAAAACGTCGCTGCCGCTTTGAGGAAATCCTTTCGCTATGCTTCTCTTCATTTCCTTCCCTTTATCTCCTCTTGCTTCGCTCTTCTCTCGTCCCTCCCTTCCCCTTATCCTTCTACCTTGTTAAATCCCCCTCTTTTTTCTCTTCTTTCCTTCATCGACTTAATCTCCTCATCCTTCCCCTCCCCTTCTTTTAACACGCACCCTTCTCCCCTCCCTTTCCCATACCCCCTAAACTTCTCCCTTTCCCTCCTCCTTGTCTCGTCCCCCGACCCCCACCAATTCCCCAACCAATATAAGAAACTCTTCTTCATCTCTTCCTTTTTTCTCCTCCTCCTCCCCCCACCCACCCCCATCGCCCCATCTTCCCTTCGGCAACAGCGGGAAGAACCTCATTTTTTTCCTCCTCTTCCGCCGATACTTAAAGGCGATCGGTCACTCAAATATCGCGTGTGTGACGTCCTTCTCGACACAGCGGAGTCGTCGTCGGCGGCGGAGGCGGCGGCGGTGCGAGCCCGTGCGATCCGCCGCCCCTTGACAAAAGCGGTAAGCAGGTTGCCTCGTCTGAATAAAAGATGAGGGACGACGTGTGTACAAATAAAAATACATACATTCACGCACCACCAAACATCTAGAGACGCATTCCCCCTTTCCCCTCCCTCTTCCCTCTCTCTCTCCCCTGCGTGGCTCCCCGATGACCCTGCCTCCTACCCCTCCCCCCTCTCTCTCTGGTTCCCTGTCATCCCTCCCCTCCCTCCTCCCCTGAAGAGCTCCCCGATATCCCCGCCCCTGCCCTCTGCCCTCCTCCCCTTCCCCGCGCCGACCCCTCCGAACATATTGGACAGGGGAACAAGCATGTCCTACACTCCGCGACACCCTTGTCCCGCCACGCCTCAAGCTCGCGTAAAGAGTGAGAAACACGTGTCTTACACCTTGGGGGACAAGCACGGAACAAATATCCTTCGCCGCCGATGCCGCCGCTTCCCCACTCCCCTTCTCCCTCTCTCTCCCACACCTTCGCTTCTTCTCTTCCTCTCTCCACTCGCTTCGCTTTCCTTATCCCACTTCCCCTCTCTACCCCTCGCTTCTTTCCACGAGTTCCCTCCACAAAATCCCCTCCATTCCCCTCTCCTCCCTCGTCCACCAGCCCCGAAACCCTCTTGCTTACCCTCCCCCGTCTCTTTCTCCCCCCCCCTCCCCTTCCTTTCTCCTCGCCGTCCTTCCCCCTCCCCTCCCCTTCCTTTCTCCCTCCTTTCCTATCCCCTCCCTACCCCCTTCCCCGAAAACACACATCCTAAAGAG